ATATTCATGACTTGAATAGATTATTTTAAATATTTAGATTAATAAATGTTCTTTATACTCACCTCCTAAATTAACGCGGATAAAATAAAAATAAATAGTAAATATCATGAACTTGAATGGCTTATTTTAAATATTTAGATTAATAAATGTTCTTTATACTCACACACTAAATTAATGCGAATAAAATAAAATTAAATAGTAAATATTCATGAGCTTGAATTGCTTATTTAAAATACTTAGGTTCTTTATACTCACCGACTAAAACTAAATTAACGCGATTAAATAGTAAATATTCATGAACTTGAATAGCTCATTTTAAATTCTTTTATAATAAATGTTCTTTATACTCACCGACTAAATTAAAGCGAATAAAATAAAAATAAATAGTAAATATTCATGAACTTGAATAGCTTATTTTAAATATTTAGATTAATAAATGTTCTTTATACTTACGGACTAAATTAACGCGAATAAAATTAAATTAAATAGTAAATATTCATGAAATTGAATAACTTATTTTAAAATGCTTTGATTAATAAATGTTCTTTATACTCACCGACTAAATTAACACGAATAAAATTAAATAATAAATATTCATGAACTTGAATGGCTTATTTTAAATATTTAGATTAATAAATGTTTTTATACTCACTAACTAAATTAATGCAAATAAAATAGTAAATATCCATGAACTTGAATAGCTTATTTAAAATATTTAGATTAACAAATGTTCTTTATACTCACCGACTAAATTAAAGCGAATAAAATAAAATTAAATAGTAAATATTCATGAACTTGAAACTTATTTTAAATATTTAGATTAATAAATCTTTATACTCACTTCCTAAATTAACGCGAATAAAATAAAAATAAATAGTAAATATTAATGAACTTGAATAGCTTATTTTAAATAAATTCTTTATATTCACCGACTAAATTAACGCGAATAAAATAAAATTAAATAGTAAATATTTATTATTATTTTAAATGTTCGGATTAAATAAATATTCTTTAGTATACTCACAGACTAAATTAACGCGAATAAATTAGAATTAAATAGTAAATTTTCATGAACTTGAATGTGCTTATTTAAATACTTAGATTAATAGATGTTCTTTATACACACCCCCTAAGTTAACAAAATAAAATGAAATTAAATAGTAAATCTTCATGAACTTAAAATGTCTTGTTTAAATGTTCGGACTAAATAAATATTCTTTAGTATACTCACAGACTAAATTAACGCGAATAAATTAAATAGTAAATTTTCATGAACTTGAATGTGCTTATTTAAATACTTAGATTAATAGATGTTCTTTATACTTACGAGCTAAATTAATATATATAAACCGATTTTAAGCATATTATTAAATAGAAATTACCATGAGAACTATTGCAAACAAAATGATTTTTATAACTCATAAAATTGATCGTTATACTTACTCCCTAAAGGATTAAGAATTTAAAATGCAAAATTCAAATGTATTACCGAAATTTTTAAAAATTAAAAATACTTTTCAATCCAATTCTTATATTCGTCTTCATTCTTTTCCACACCAATTCCGTAATAGTAACAAATGGCTGTTTTCCAAATTCCCATAGTATTACCAGCCTCGGCAGATTCTAGATAATGCATAAACGCTTTATGCTTATCCATTTCAACCCCAATTCCTAAATAATAACAATAACCAACTTGATACATTCCGTTAGGGTTATCCATCTCCGCAGATTTTTGATAATGAATGAATGCCTTATTCTCATCCTTTTCAACTCCAATCCCATATTCGTGACAATAGCTAAGCCAGAATATTCCATCTGGATCATTTATATCAGCTGATTTTTGGCAAGCATTTGTATCTGACATTTTATATCAAAAATATTACATATGCTGTACGAAAGAATTTCATTAAAAAAATGTTGAACCTAGCGCTAGTACATCCCAAATCTATATTACCGTATTCCTCCGAAAATAAGCACCCACATTATCCCAATTTGATCTTGGCAAAAATTATTTTCGGAGGAATACGGTTACATTTATATTATATGATTTGCTGATTATTGGCCAATCAAATCAAATGATTATAAAGCATGCGAAATTTACGAATAACGAAATCATTCGAATTATTTTTGATTGTTTTTGCACAGCGAATATAGATGTTCTTTTCAAAGCTAAAAATGACTTTTACGGTGACTTTTTGTCAGTGAAACGTTACGTTCTCAAGAGTACTCAATTGATTTACATCAATCAAACATACGAAAGTCTTCCTATGAATTAAGTACTGTACGTTCGTACGTGCTTACGTACATATCTGATATGGTTTCCTTGGTTTTGTATCACCGACGCTAGTGATGCGACCGAATATATGAATCTTATCAGTTCCATTGACCAGACAGGACGCCGTATCAGTTATCGGCTCAACGAATACCTGTTTTATCTGGCAAATAATATAGTTATTTTTACAAAACAAATTCGTAATATACTGTAAATTTATTACATTTATTGCAAAGTATCTCATGCAAGTTAAAGCAGTTTGGCTGAGTGAACCGTTGGGCCAGCTACTGTATGCAAATCAAAATTAGATGTGTATCATATAAAAATTAATTAATGTCGGGGATGATGCTGAAATTTGAACTATTTTAATATGAAATTTTAAAAATTTTGGATTAGGATTATAATTAGAGTATAAATGGGTTTTAGTAGGATTTATATTTTTAAATAGAGGCCTTAAATTTCAGCATCATCCCCGACAATTAATAATGATATAATGATCGTGATAGCAGCTAATGTCTATCACTTTTGTTTTGATAATTATTGTGGCTTCATACTTGCCGGACAAATGTTTGGGATTTGAAATAGGATTTTTGTTATACTTGAAAATCTCACAAGACAAAACTGGGCAAACCCCAAATCCCAAATTTCTGTTGTAAATGGATACGGAATAACTGTAGATTCGGAATCCATTTGAATTAGGTTCGAATCTTAAGTTTGTTACGGAATTTTACACAATCATATTAATAATACGAATACATTTAAAATGATCGTATAATTAAATTAATTACGAAATGTGTTAAAGCGATCTTCTGTTTTTATTTCGAAAACTTTCTTAATCTAAGATTTCAATCTAAGAATACCCTTTTATTTCTAGAAATTCTTTAATGATTTGGTCAATAAAATATGCTGAAGGAAAACTTCAGATCTTTATTTCACAAAGCGACTATGTTCTTATTATCATAGTACTTCATTAACCCAATAATACAAGCTTAGAGATCGATACTGGGTTAATTAAGAACTGAAATAAATCCACATCACAAATGAGAAAGAATTAGTTATTTATCAAATACCAAACTGAATGAAAATTTAATAATGAAAAAATAGCAAATATCCTCTCGAATATTCTATTAGAGATTATGCATTTCAAAAACAAATCATAACGAGACATATGCAAAACGAAATTCTCGATACAACCTATGGTGTGAATGAGCTTATGCCCATCAAGACCCTTGAACTGTTCAAAAATTTCACAAAAATTTTTGATCTTGAATTTGACTAGTCAGTGAAATTTTAATGGGTGGCGATGTTTGCAAAGCTTATTAAAAAAATACAATATATAGATATATATACATATCGATATATCGGTGGCTAGAGTTTGGAACCGGATTTTTTTATGTTAAAACCGATTAAAACAGGTTTAACATAAAACCAGTTCCAAACTCTACCCGTGGATACTAGAAAAGACACCCAATATAAAAAACCTATTGAATATCATGAAGCATAGATTTTGAATAACCATAGTTGTATATGTAGGTTTTTAAATACTTGTATTTAAAAAATTTTTTGATTATTTTTTACACAGTAATTTTCTTTTATTTTATCAACATCTACTGTATAGTATTATTAATAATAATGGCAAACATGAAAGGATGAAATGAACTATAGAGAATCACTTCTTAATTACTTTAAAGCTATATCTAACCATTCCAAAAGCGTTGGGGTTTAAGCAATTTTCGTATTTGTAATAGAGATTTGATTTTATAAATGGGTTCCAAAATTTTGAATATGCGGATTAGATTTGCACATTCGAATTTTGGACACTTTCATCCAATTCTTAATTTAGTCAATCGATGAAACCTATACTTCGTACCAAGACTATTTATATACAGATATCTTTAAATATGTGTCAGGTTTGTGCGCAAATCTCCAGCCGCAATCAAAATCGATGATATAGACCAACTTTCTCGTGATTGATCAATTTTATGCAATTGAATTTATACGTGTGTTCTAACATTAGTGTCATTGTACTAGCTTTAAGTCCAATAAAAAAACTATTAGAACTATCAAATTGGACATATTGGTTAACTTTAATTAGTTTCCGCTACACCAGTATCTCCAAAAATTATAACCACGTGATAATCGATAATAAATTAACCACTATTTGGTGTAATTGCGATCAGGAAAATTCTAAACGTCCGTTTATATAGAACAAAATATAATTACATACCTGTTACGTTTGTATTTTGTTATGCTCTTTTAAGACAGTTATAATCTATAAAATTAGATACTTCAAGTTTATTTCAAGAACCATTAAAAAAAGATTAATTTCTGAATTTAAATATAATTATTGAACCGATTTTCAAAAATTTGTACGTATAAGGAACCATCTAACAAAAAAAGGTTATACTAGTATCTGAATACTAACCTTGACATAAACTAGTTTTAATGCTTATTCACGATATAATTAATTATAAGATGATCACATCTATGCTTGGACTTTATGCACGCCGAATCTTGCTAACTTGTCTCTAACTAGCGTGTTTCTATTTAAGTCTAAATAACACATGCAATTACACATGTTGCGATTTTCTATATAATACCCTCTTTTGTATAATAATTAGATTTTTACTTGAGAATGAATCGTATCCAGGGTACCGTGGTCCGCACTGTACGGTATACGTCGTAATTTTATGAATTATTATTATTTTGAAAAAAAGATAACTTATGAATGCCCCTCCAAAAAACTTGCAGACAAATAACAGAACCTGATGAATTTAAGAATAAGATCCATGATATTGTTCAAAAACATGTAAAATTAGCTGATAAAAATAAGTGGATGGACATCAAACTAAATGATCCAAAACTTAAATTCGAGGTATGATCATTATGGTCATTCATACATATCTTTAACTTATCGTTCATTACAAAATAATATTAATACACTTTGTGTGTTTTCATAGATTCTACGAGATTGTATGTCTTTAACAAATAGAAATATTCCAAACCTAGAACTTAATTTTATTGAAACGGTTGGTGATGCTGTCAAGTTTTATTTGGGTGAAGAGAAGAAAGACCCTCGAATCGGCCACCCAGTGGCTACTTGGTTCGCGGAAAACGAAGATAAATTACCACCAAACATGACTTTTATTCCATATGTAAAAGAGATTGGGGTAAAAAGGGAAGATCGAAAAAAAATGCAAAAAAAGTAATTATATTTATATAAAAAAAAATATATATATATATATATATATAAAATATATATATATATATTTATATATAAATATATATACAGTACGTAGTTGTTTAGAAAACGTGAACAACAATGGATGCAGCAGAGTTTCCCTTATTCGTCCAAATTCAACTTTTTATGTTAAACAATGCATCCTTGCGTTATACAAGAAAAAATATATTTAAAGGAAGAGCATTCGATATGCGATTAAACATTTGTGCACTCCAAACACTCCAAACAAATGGAATGTTACCAATTTTAATGTCAGTGTCCAATCATGTATCTATGAGTTTAAAGCCATTTTATCAGTTATAGCCGTGCGAATCTGTCCGACTTTTTGACTGGAGAAATATTTGATATTATAACCTTAGGGTGTTTTTAACAAAACCGTTCAATCCCAATCCACAAAAAAGTTTTCCAACTATAAAGTCCAACTCAGTTTCAATCCCTGTTCCAGTCGTTTCTCCTAAGATAAAGTCGCTCCCTTATTTTACTTATCTGCCGATACAATGCCTTTGGTATGTTTAATTGCCTACTCTATTTTTACCCTTTTTTCCTACTTTGCTT